AAACTGGATCTTCAAGAGTCAAGAGCACAAATCCTTTTAGGGTATTTACTACCTCACTGAGGTCTATCGATTCATGTACAAATCATTGGAATCGGAAGGGGACACCTGTGACGGTTCCCTCGTAAGTCACGTGACCAGGGACGGTGCTAGAACGTCTGCCTTTCACCTATGCTAGAAAATATCAGTAAAAGAAAAATCAAAGAGCAATACGGTAGAGAAAAGGAGTCATACTAGCTTGAATGTTCAAATGAATTTCGTATGAGATCCTATCAATTTCTGCAAGTTCATACCGTTTCTTAAAATGTTGTAATATATTGTACCATGCTCTTCGATACTCTTGTAGTAATGTTATAAGATCATATTTCAAGAATTTTTCCACTGGGTGTAAAAGCTATATTAAAAAGATTTATTTTAGCTGTTGCACAATACGCCAAGTGACGTAATAATAACTTCTATTCCAATAACACAACGTACAGTGCCAACTACAGTAGAAGAAAGGGAACAATCATCGTCAATAAAACGAGAAAAACAAGTTGTTTTTGAAGTTAAATCCAATACTTATAAACGAAAAGTAGAAGTAAAAACAAAACAAGAAGATAAAATCTTGAAAAAACCCGCAGCTTCGATTTCTGTAGCTGTTTTACCAGCAGTAAATAATGTTGTTTTACAAAGTCCTTCAACGTCAACATATACCCACGAACATAGACGATCTTCATGTAAGTATCAACAGGGCAGTCGTATTTTAGCTCTTGTTCTATCTCAAATCGTTTTACCTATTTAGTCTCAAACAGCTCGGCACAAAGTTACAAAGTTAGTATTAGTTCATTTGATTCGTTTACAAGACCCCGTACAATATCAAACGCAAGCGATGATAAAACGAATGATACGTATGCTTCGATGCTCGAAAATCTAAAAGAAGATAGTTATGATGATTTTACAACTGCGCCTGATACAAGTGTGGACTATTATGATTTGCGACGAGATGAAAAGTTTAATAAACGTCCGTTACTCGAACTTATCTCAGAACTGCATAAACATCACATTCCACAAAAAACGATATCAAATGAAAAGCAGGAACAAGAGCAGTTGAAATTAAGCCAAGAGAGTTTGCTGCTGTCGCCACCTGAATTTCATACGGCTGTTTCATCCACAGCTGCATCGTCATCAGCACGACCTTTATCGCCAACAATCGTTCCACCGAAACAATTCAGCCCATTTAGACCAGTTATTATTCACAGAAAATATCAGGTAAAATAATGTTTTGACTAGAACAACATCTACAGGCAAAGGATGACGCTGTATTTTAGATGAAACCGGTACCTGTTTTTTCACAATTTTTATGATTGATCGATAGGGGAAGTTACGTGCAACATTTTGATTTATTTGACTTTCTGCCAAAACGCCAGACGATTGAGAAAATCACTGTCGAGGTTCACTTTGTCACAGCGGATATTTTTAGGTCACCATGTGAACACATAATTTTTTTGAGTAATTAACTTGCTTAAGAGTTAGTTAAAATCACTTACACAATTCGAAAAACTCGATAAATTTAAAAATAAAGGTTTTTGAAAAAAGACGCTAAGCATAAAACTTTTTGAAGAAAATTTTTCTCTTACAAAGTTTCTAATACACATTATTTAACGCAGTAGAAAAAACTGATTCCGAATATGTGTCATTGATTATACAAAAAAATTATGTGAAGTCGAGAAAAGACAAAAATATGCGAAACCGTCGATTTTTCAGAAATCTATCACGGAAAATTTACAGATAGTGCGTACACCATCGTTGCATTACACTCAGAACAGTAGCTGGATAAAGTTTGAGACAGAAAGTTCGGCAAATTTAGAAAACCTTTTACACTGATGACGTGTTTTGGGTGAAATTTTCTTCGCTTGGAAAATGTTAATCTTCTTTGGTATTTTAGGTTCAATTTATCAGATTTTTTTCCTTCCTAAAACACTCTTTTATCAAATTCTATAGTGTTAGTAGTCATAAAAATTCATTATTCTTTTCTTTAACTTAAAAATGGATTATGTTGGGTTTTGCTACTAAATTTTACATTAACTACTTCGCCCCTGTCATCGTGTCCTATGATTGAAAATTTAGTGGCATTAAATAACCGTGAGATTTTTGACCACATATTCCTCTGCTTAAATTGTAAATACTGCATTCTAAGTTTTTCGGCTAAATATTCGCACAAATGACCGTTGTGCCCGTTATTAAGAGAAATTTTCAATAAAACAGAACATCTCCTTCATTTTTTTTGTACACCACATCATATTTATCAAATAAAGCTTATATCATCGCCTTCGTTAGATAAATTGTTTAGAAACCCTCTAAGATGAAAAAACAAAAGATTTTACTTGTCTAACTTGTCAACAAATTAAGTAAAACGGAGTATTTTCGACTAGATTCAAGAAAATATACAGTATGGTTCAGTTTTATTCGTAGATAATGAATCTGCTCTTGGTTTTGTGAAAAATTGAAAACGAAGGAGATATACCTGTTGTATTGGAAATTTGTATTNATGCTGTGTACATTGAGACACTATGCCGTGAGAAGACATCATACGGCACCACAACACGAATGTAGATGGCAACAGGTAACTCGAGACCTTTTGAAAAGACTCTCAGAGCAAAATCGTATTGGGCGGATCATCGCCTTCGTTAGATAAATTGTTTAGAAACCCTCTAAGATGAAAAAACAAAAGATTTTACTTGTCTAACTTGTCAACAAATTAAGTAAAACGGAGTATTTTCGACTAGATTCAAGAAAATATACAGTATGGTTCAGTTTTATTCGTAGATAATGAATCTGCTCTTGGTTTTGTGAAAAATTGAAAACGAAGGAGATATACCTGTTGTATTGGAAATTTGTATTCATAACGGGACGAAATGTGGATCTTGAGAGTAATCAGCTCCCCACTGACGTTAAAAAAGACTTTACTTTCAACCAGAAGCACAATGGAATAATAAAAGAGGATTTCACTACCTTATAGAATCTTTCTAAGGTCTGGAAGAAGATCGTTCAATCTTCATTCGTTGTTTTGTATCCAAATGTATACTATTAAAGACCTTCTTATGTTTAAGTCTCCAATTGGTCGATTTGAGTTTGTTGATGGCAGCGAGAATATCAGTGCTGATAGTGGTGGCGTCCGAAGAAATAGTCGCACGGGCGTATCTGTTATTCGAAGTCATACGTTTAATTCAAACCATACTGCTCCCACAAAAGATTTAAGTGTAGAATCTACGGATTCCATGCAAATAACAAACGATGCGGATCGTATACATCATATATCAACACCAGAATTATTTACAACGTTACCAACAATCAGTAGACAAGATATAGCACCACACGAACACGAGAGAACAACGGAAGATAAAAATGAAGTAAGTTAAGCATCTTCTGTTAGAATTTAATGATATGCGGGATAGTAATCTCTTACTACTGTTATTAATTAGCCATGAAAGATGGAAGTAAAATTAAATATCAACTGTTTAATCGAGAACAAAATATAAAAATTTATTTAAAGCGCTCAAATTTTTAGCATGGTGTTTGACATTTGTACCCGAGCAAAAACGACCCAATTTTTTGAGTTATTTATCTAGATTCAGCTCCATGTACATCTAGATGTAAATAACCCAAAAAATTGGATCGTTTTTGCTTGGGATAGTTCTACGCGATCTATGAAACACGCGAACTTTTGTTCTCGTTAGTGTGTCTAGAAGATCCCGCACTTTTTCATGCAGAATGGGTGCTGTGCACTTAATATTTCTCGTTTACTTTAACGTATAATGTATCCAGTTAGAAACCTAACAAATACGATTTGATATCACTTTTCGCGCCGATGCGGTCATCATTGTTCACATCTTATTTGAACAGAACAAACTAGACAGAAGTCTGTTTGAAGAAGAAAACATCAAGATGAGACATTTGTCACATATGACATCGAGCAAACGGCATGTGTAAGAAGAATAATCTTCTTATGTATTAGGTTTCTATTACTATTCATCATCACCAAACATCTTTAGTATTTTTTGGAGAGAAAGATGGCAATGAAGTGTAGAAGAAAAGGAGAAAAAGAAGAAGAGGAGATATGCACATGTATGATTAAACGACAACTAGAGTTGTTATTATTAAATTCTTTGGTGTTGAGAGAAAGAATATCGGAAATAACGACTTGTGTTGACCGGTCAACTTGTCTTTTATCGCTATATCAGTGAATGAGAGAGAATAAGCTACACATGTTCCCTCGTCGTTGTTTTTTATTGATACTACTCAAAAAGATATAAAAAAATTCACGTATTCCATCCAGTAATTGATGCTAATAGTTCTGAGAGATATATGCAGATATGTAAGAAAAACCTGCACCATCATTTTTACATAAAAAATAAAGACGTAGGAGAAAACGAAGTATATTTTCTGGTGTATGCGTGTGTGTATAAATATCTGTAGATCATATGAAGAAGAGAGAAAGAGAAAGTTTTCTTATGGTGTCAATTGTTTAGTTTAATCTTTGTATGAGTGTATGTGTTTGTATACAAATAAAAAATAATGATAATGATTTTTAGCGATATGAGTCGATATTATTAAGTAAGATTTGGAATATTAAACAAATCAATGGCGTTTATCAGTGCTATTGACGGTAGTATTAGAAATATACAAACAAAAAGTGCTGAAAGTCTCCATCATTTAAATCATAGTCGAGCTTTAACGCCGGTTTCTAATGATGGCATGCTGTGTACATTGAGACACTATGCCGTGAGAAGACATCATACGGCACCACAACACGAATGTAGATGGCAACAGGTAACTCGAGACCTTTTGAAAAGACTCTCAGAGCAAAATCGTATTGGGCGGACGCAGAACCAAAATATCGCTGAAACTTTTTGTTACAGGTGCCTAATAACTTAGTATTTAGCGTATATAAGGAATAATGCCTTAATATATGGAATAGATTTACTTTATATGAAGTGACTGACTTCTAATTATATTTATATGAGCTCACTACAGTTTTCTTTGTTACTCGGTTGCACCAAATCAATAAAATATCGCTAACTCACAGAAGAAAATCTTGTGAGGCACTGAGCTCTTAGGGTGAATATGTAGTACTTACCCGATGAACTAATAGCATTTACGGAGATGTAAGATAACTGTCCCTGGAAGGAAGCTTGCAGGATATAGATTAAGCGAGGGTGATACGCGTAATCGTGCATTGCTGTATTTCTGAGGTATCATAAACTGTAAGTCGCTACATTCCACTTTATCCATCATGTTATACAGCTATATCTCGCAGCATCTCGAGATATCGGGAAAAAAACCGTAAAGGTATATCTCACTATATTACTTTTCGGAATAGTAGGTCAGATCCCACACGTTTTGTCATCTTAGTTATTATAACCAAGGAGAAATTAGACGCAACACATGATTGGAAAGCTGTTTTGAACATAGAAATATAGATTATAAGATGTTGTAACATGTTGGTCAAAAAAGAACATGTACTATTTGACGAAGTTTTGTATCTATGTCTTACAAGGATTATTTTATTGTCCAAAATTCTAGGCTAAACGTAAAGCAATTGTGATGCAAATGTATGATACAGAAAAATCGTATGTTGAAGCATTGAAAATTCTTGTCACAGTAAGTACATATTTCATGGTTTTAGTAACAACAATATATCATTGACAGATTCCACTTTTCTCTAGAAATATTATTTACCAATGAAAGATCGAACAATTATAAGCAATGATTTAGTTAATGATATTTTTTACAAAATTCCAGAAATTCATATGCATCATACAGTAGGTATTCCAATTTTATTCAAGATTATTAAGTAAAATTGTTGCTTTTATGCAAATGCTTTTATAATAAAGTTTCTTGGAAAACTTGTTATAAAAAATGAAGTAACAGTACTTTTTTTGTCAAAGATTTTACACAAAAATTTTTTCTCATTTTCATTTATTCGTGTACTTTTACTGATTGACCATGATGAATGAAAGTCATCTGTTGCTGACATTAACCGGTTATTAAAACAACTTTTAATACTATATAGAGATGATTTCTTTTCTTAGGCATTTTTTATATCATTAACGCAAAAATTAGCATTATGGGATAATAAACAAACCATCGGTGATCTCCTACTACAGACGGTTTGTTTTTCAAGCCTCTTTTAGTTAAATGTACTAAAAATTCTGGTTTTATAGTTTGCTAAACAATCTGTCATTGAAACATATACCAGTTTTGTTACTAATTACAAAACAGCACAAGAAGCAATTCGACTATGTCGAGACTCTTCATCATTCAATAAATTTCTTGAAGTAAATATAGATGAAAAATATTCTATTAAACAATAGAAGTAATGAGATCTTTATTTATCATAGCAACAAGCAAAAGAACATCGAGGAAAACTGGCATTAAGAGATTTAATAATTCAACCTGTCCAACGTATTCCACGCTATGAGCTTTATACCAAAGTAAAATTGTTTCTAAAAATATATTATAGCAGAATATATGAATCTATTTTTATTAATAGGATTTTTTAAAATGTACAAATTTAAATCATCCCGATTATCAATTACTATTAAAAGCTCAAAATGATATCCACACACTGGCCGAAGAAATTGATCAAGTTCAACGGGAAGTGGGTGGTAGCGGTAGTGGTAATATGACCAGTGGGGGACCCTTTAATGATATTGGAAGTTCATTAGAATTAGTACAAGATATGATTGAAAATTTAACAGATGTAAGTAAAATTAGGATAAGCTTTTTGCTAATATAACGTTTAAGTTATTTACTAGCCGATCAGACAGTTGCGTATAATCTGTAAAATAAAATATATTAAAAGTTTAGCTGTAGTGCAAAGTAAAAAATGAGCATGTCTAAAAGTTCAAAGTTAAAAAAACAACAAAGTTTACATTTTCTATGAGCAATTTGATTTACTTTGTGTATGAAATCTTTTATTTTATTATATCACCTGACAATAGCGGCTACTTGAGCTAGAAACATTGTTTACTGTGTCATAAGATACACACGTTAGAAGCGACAGGGAGTATTTTGTAATTACTAATTGGATTTCGTTGTAGCTTCCCATGAGGTTTTTTTGATCGATTGAAACGGTGTCCAAACGCGTATAAACGACGAAATAACAGAAACGCGTTCAATCGATGCTTGGAACACTGTTTTTAGCCGTTTAATCCATAGACTAAACCCATTTCAATCATCGATTGAACGTGTTTCTGTTATTTCGTCGTTTATATTCACCGTTTCAATCGATCAGAAAACCTCATGGAATTTCACTGCTATCTTTTCTCCATATAGAATGATGAATAATGAGAATCGTTCAATATTTGTACCTGAGAACTATCTTATTAAACAACATTCACATCTTTGTTTTAATTTGTATAATCACAGGAATAAGAGGAGAAAAATACAGATTAATTGCTGCCCCCTTAAGAACAAGGATTCTTGAAGTTCAGAATTATTATCAAAATTAATGATGATTCTCAAGGCAAGAAGGATCAATGTAGGATTATATTGTCTCGCTGGATAAATGGGATTTTCATAATGTCATACCTAGTCTTCAATATAAACTTCCTTCAATAAAACGTGTAGCATAATCACGGAAATTGAAAGAGAAAAATTCATTCTGCTATCCAACCGAAATTGTAGCGTGAATGTAAGATTTATATTTCAAAACTGTATCGCTTATACATTACATTTATTCACGTTTATTTCTATAAACGTAAAAATACTCTAAAGAAACGTCGAAGAATTACAGCGGTAATCCTCATGTGATCATATGGAAGCAAATCGAACACTATCACTTACTATTTGACGTCGAAAACGTAACCGATAATGACTTACTGAGTATTTACAAATCTGCTACGACAAAATAAATCTTTTTATTTACTTTTCTAATTTATGTGATAAGAGGGAAAATTCTGTTTCTCTACCAGCCACGATGGGCTTCTCAGTGATTTTAATTAAAGATCTGTAGTTGAGATAAATATGCATTCAAATTGTTTTGTGTGTGTGTTCTAAAAATATGATGTATTTTTTCTCCACGTGAACGATCTAAAAAGCTTCCCCAAACTCGTAAAAATAATGTTTTCAGAAATCCTGACAAATATATAAAATTGAGCTATATTTTTTCTTAAGTGACTATATGATCACATAGAGGAAAGTATGCTCTGCAAAAGATGTTTCCTATGCTCTGACGTAAAAAAATTGGAAAAAGTCATGCTATGATATAAATACACTTTGATGTGTTTTGAAGATTTACGATGTTAACTATTTTTTTTCCTCTATAGCTGGTACATCCAGATCGCTTTTATATTCGTCACGATATAGTTACACTTCAATTAACATCCGGCATCAAGAAGGATCGTTGTATCTTCTTGTTCAATGATTTAATCATTGTGACGAGTTGTAAACGAAGAAGTGGAACCTTATCGAAGAAAGGCGGATCTGTTATACTGTACGTATAGTCTCAGCATTCTTAGCATATACTTGTTGGATATTCTTCTTTATTCTTTAACTTATTCAGTAATTCACCATCTGGAAAACAATATATTGATAATGTAAAACATAAATTAATTATGAAAATACCGTTAGAAGATGTTGACTTAGCATCAGGTGAAAAATAACACTTATTCTTCGAGCGAGAGAGACTCAACATGCTTTATTTTTATTGTAGGACAACTGAAGAAAACTTCCGTTGCAACTGATAAAAGTCATTTAGTAGAAGATGTTTCGGTACTGACACATATCACAGAATTAGCAAAAACAATTTCTGTTCCACATCAGGTAATATAACAAAAACTTACGAGGGACCCTTTCCAGCTGTCTAATCGCTTTCTGGTCGAAACCTAGTGGGTTATAAGTTATCAACTACGCTGATTCCGAATATCCATATGCAACGGGTCGCTACACCTTCCTAGAGTAGTTTTCTAGAAAACTGTTTTTTTAGAAACCTCGAAAAGTCCCGGAAACTTTTTCTTAATAGATCAAGATTGTAGCCCACGAAATTCAGATCAAAATGAGACATCGCCCACCTCTACACGACTTTTCTTTGCAAAGTTAGAGAATTTACAAGAAAAGCCCTAAATGTACATCGTCACCTCAAAGCTACGGAAATAAGGAAAAAATTATTTTGGGGCTTTTGTTGTAAATTCTCTAACTTTGCAAAGAAAGGTCGTGTAGAGGTGGGAGATGTCTCATTTTGATCAGAATTTCGTGGGCTACAATCGTGATCTAGTAAGAGAAAGTTTTCGAGACTTTTCGAGGTTTCTAAAAAACCCGTTTTCTAGAAAACTGCTCTAGAAAGGTGTAGCGGCCCGTCGCATATGGGTATTCGGAATCAGTGTAGTCGATAACTTATAACCCACTAGGTTTCGACCAGAAAGCGATTAGAGTGTTGGAAAGGTCCCTCGTTAGACCGATAAAAGAATTTATAAAATTTTTGTTTTCGTATAGCAGTTGGATGAATCAATTAAAGATACAATGCATACCGTTAATAAACATCTAGTGGAAGAAAATGAAACGGATTCGTCAAGTGATCATAAATCTGTGAATGTACAACTGACAATAAATACTAGGTGCGTTAAAACGAGTGACAAAGCTAACTGCTAACTATGAGCTTATGTTTATTGTAGCGAACGTATTGAAACGATCGACGTTTTATTTTCTTCTTTTGATCAAAAATTATCTTGGGAAAGAAGTTTTCTTGAAGCAAAAAAGGCTTTATGTAAGTATAATAAAATTCAATATAAATCAAAGTAACTCAAGGATCTCTGTTCATTTGTAGTTGATGCTGCCGGTCGTAGAAATGTTATATTTCAACACGTATTAACATTACCACATAATCGAGCTGGAATGCAGGTATATTTTTAGTAGTGTAAAGTTTTCTATTTAAAAGTAATCAAATAATTCTATTTAGTTTTCATGTGCTGCTCCTCGACTATCGAGTAATGACGCGTTTCCAGATGTTTGGGTTTGTAATTCTGATGGTCTCTCCAGCGAAGTGTGTTTGGTTAATTTACATCCAGATTTTAATTTGAAAGCTTGTAATACTGTGTGTACGTCAAAAATAACCTGTCTAGCATTCATCCCCGCTCATAATCCAAAAAGAAATGTTGGCAGTGCAAAACGAAAACATCATCCACATGTAAAACATGATCAACATTCAACGAGCACAGAACAAACTCTAGGAGCAACACCAGAATCGCTGCTTGATATTGATTCTAGCGATGATGAAGATACTTATCATGGTGATACGTCTTCAAGTAAGTTGATATATGAGAACTTGTTTGAGACATGAGCAGTACCGCGCAAAAATATCACGAGGTGTCGTTCTAGTTAACTCGATATGGTCGAATGTATCGATTATCGCGATATATTCTCTTGTCTCGATGAAAAATATTCATCGATAGCATCCTACATACCTATTCCTCCATTTTACTATTGCAAGAGAAGAAGTACGAATAGCAGAACAAAACAATCTATTGTGATAAAGTATGATTTATCAATCGTAAGACCAAAATACAAAATATTGAGGAATCGACTTAATACTTTCTATTTTATCGCATTTAAGATATCGAAAAGTCCTTTGTGAGAAGAAATGTTTTGACTTTGTATTAAAATACTTGTTGTAATTTTTCAGTCCATACAGATCGATTCGATTCCTTAA